ATAAGATATAAAGGGGACTGTATTGATTACAGTGCCCCTTTACAGCACAGTCCCCTTTATATCATGGTGCCCCTTTACATTACAGTGCCCCTGATATAATCTAGAGAGCAAATGCCCGGGGTGCCTTATGGCCAGTCTGGATCTGCTTCCCTATACCAATCCTCAATACAAATGAGTCTGTTTGTAACATAATCCAGTCCTACTCTGATCACCAGTCTACTGCTAGCATGAGCACCAGTCAACACCTCTAAGGAAAGACAGTCCACGTCTACACCAAGTGCCAATCTATTCTTACGGTGACTGTATGCACCAGTCCATTCCTTCTACTGCATGCACCAGTCTAGTCCTCCTACTACACACACAAGTCTGCTCCTTCTACTACATGTATTAGTCCACTCCTTTTACTGCATGCACCAGTCTGCTCCTTCTACTGCAAGCACCAGTCCTCTACTTGTGCTGCAAGCACCAGTCCTGCAAGCACCAGTACTCTACTTGTGCTGCAAGCACCAGTCCTCTACTTGTGCTGCAAGCACCAGTCCTCTACTTGTGCTGCAAGCACCAGTCCTCTACTTGTGCTGCAAACACCAGTCCTCTACTTGTACTGCAAACACCAGTCCTCTACTTGTACTGCAAACACCAGTCCTCTACTTGTACTGCCAGCACCAGTCCTCCTCCCTCTACTGCAAACACCAGTCCGCTCCTTCTACTGCAAGCACCAGTCCTCTACTTGTACTGCAAACACCAGTCCTCTACTTGTACTGCAAACACCAGTCCTCTACTTGTACTGCAAACACCAGTCCTCTACTTGTGCTGCAAGCACCAGTCCGCTCCCTCTACTGCAAACAAGCACCAGTCCGCTCCTTCTACTGCAAACCACCAGTCCGCTCCTTCTACTGCAAACACCAGTCCGCTCCTTCTACTGCAAACACCAGTCCGCTCCTTCTACTGCAAACACCAGTCCGCTCCTTCTACTGCAAACACCAGTCCGCTCCTTCTACTGCAAAACACCAGTCCGCTCCTTCTACTGCAAACACCAGTCCATTCCTTCTACTGCAAGCACCAGTCCGCTATTTCTCCTGCAAGCACCAGTCTGCTACTTTTACTGCAAGCACCAGTCCACTCCTACACAGAAAGTCAGTCTACTCTAGCTCTGTTACCCAATCCACCCCTATTCCAAGCGTGAGACCACTCATACTCTGTGCATCTACCCAATCCTACTCTGAGGCCTTTCCACTCAAAGCCCCCTACTCTAAGAGCCACTACCCTGAGAATGAGTCAGTCCAATCATACTCTGAGCACCATTTCTACTGTTGGTCTTCAGTACATTCCTAGTACCAGGTAACTCATATCCTGAGCACCTGTCCTCTACCACTCCAAGTGCCAAGACTCTGATCACCAGTCTACTTCTAGCCTGAGTGCTAGCCAACACTTACTGTGAGTGATGGTCAACTCCAACATTGAGCCCCAGTCTTCACCTTCTATAAGCACCAGTACTCTAAGTACTCTGAGAGGTATTCTACCCCACTCTGAGTACTAATCCACTCCTACTAAACCCAACCTCACCGACACTCCGAGATGTAAAATACTGGCTAGTGTGCTTGGGTGGGGCATAGCTCAGTCCGTGAATTGTAATTCACACAAAAAGTAAAACTGCCCATAGAACTTTAGGCTCTGTTCACACCAATGCGTTTTTTAGTGCTTTTTGGAGATATGCACTACAGTCCATGTAACATGATTTCCTATGGAACATGTTTACAGCTATGTTTTTTTGAGCCGCTGTGTTTTTTGGAAAGGGTCAGGGACTTTTTTAAAAGCAAAAAGCAGAGTTTTTGCTACAAGAGAGTTCAATGGAGAAGCTGCTGAAATGCATGGTAGTGCATTTGTGCAGCGTTTTGCATTTTTATTCTGTCCAGCAACCAAAAACAAATTCCTCTTTAACAAAAAAAAAGAGCTGAACAAGAAAACGCAAAACATGGTAAAAAAGCGTCAAAAACGCATGTAGAAAACTGCAAAACAAACTGCAAAAAGCACTGGAGAAAGCATCAAACGCAAAATGCACATATGCGAACGGAGCCTTAAAGAGGTTTGCTATTCAAAAAAAAGATATCATGCAAAATTTAGTACAAATTTTATTCAACATATATAAAATAATAAAGTGTTACTAATCCTCGACCCTGCATTCACTATATCCGGTCTCCCTGGACCCTGCATTAACTATATCCGCTCTCCCCGAACCCTGCATTCACTATATCCGCTCTCTCCCGAACCCTGCATTCACTATATCCGGTCTCCGTGTGGACCCTGCATTCACTATATCTGGTCTCCCCGGACCCTGCATTCACTATATCCGCTCTCCCCCCCCGGACCCTGCATTCACTATATAGCTCCGGTCTCCCCAGACCCTGCATTCACTATATCTGGTCTCCCCGGACCCTGCATTCATTATAGCTGGTTCCCTAGACTACTGCATTCACTATAATCGCTCTCTCTCAAAGACCCTGCATTCACTATATATGGTCTCCCCTGACCCTGCATTCACTATATCCGCTCTCCCAAGACCCTGCAATTCACTACTGTATGGTCTCCCCGGACCCTGCATTCACTATATCCGGTCTCCCTGGACCCTGCATTCACTATATCTGGTCCCCCCGACCCTGCATTCACTATATATCCGGCTCTCCCGGACCCTGCATTCACTATATCCGGTCTCTCCCTGGACCCTGCCATTCACTATATCCGGTATCTCTCCCCGGACCCTGCATTCACTACTATCCGCTCTCTCTCCGGACCCTGCATTCACTATATCCGCTCTCCCCGACCCTGCATTCACTATATCTGGTCTCCTCCCCCAAAAAAGGAAAACTGCCCATGCACCCTGCATTCACTGTATCAGCTCTCCCCGGACCCTGCATTCACTATATCCGGTCTCCCCCCGACCCTGCATTCACTATATCCGTCTCCCCCAGACCCTGCATTCACTATATCTGGTCTCCCCGGACCCTGCATTCACTATATCCTGGTCTCCCTAGACCCTGCCATTCACTATATCCGCTCTCCCAAGACCCTGCATTCACTATAACATGGTCTCCCCCGGACCCTGCATTCACTAATCACCTCCCCGGAACCCTGCATTCACGCTGGTCTTCCCGGACCCTGCATTCACTATATCTGCATTCACTATATCCGGTTTCCTCGGACCCTGCATTCACTATATCTGGTGTTCCCGGACCCTGCATTCACTATATGCATCCGCTCTCCCCTGACCCTGCATTCACTATATCTTTGGACCCTGCATTCACTATATTTGCTCTCCCCGGAACCATTTATTATATCATTCACTGCATGCACCATATCCGGTCTCCCTGGACCCTGCATTCACCATATCTGGCTTCATTCACTCCCTGCATTTACTATATCCCTGGACCCAGTATCACTATATCCGCTCTCCCAGGACCCTGCACAAACTATATCCGGTCTACTTCCCTGCATTCACTATGTATGGTCTCCCCGGACCCTGCATTTACTATATCTGGTCTCCCCGGACCCTGCATTCTCTATATCCGCTCCCCGGACCCTGCATTCACGATATTTGGTCTCCCCGGACCCTGCATTCATTATATCTGGTCTCCCTGGACCCTGCATGGTCTCCCCGATATTTACTATATCTGGTCTCCCCGGGCATTCTCTATATCCCTGACCCTGCATTCCCCTGGTCTCCCCGGTCCCTGTATCTGGGTCTCTCCCGGACCCTGCATTCCAATATCCGGTCCTCCCCGGACTGCATTCACTATATCCGGTCTCCCCGGACCCAGCATTCACTATATCCGCTCTCCCAGAACCCAGCATTCACTATATCCGCTCTCCCCCTGCATTCACCCTGCATTCACTATATCCGGTCTCCCTGGACCCTGCATGCGGTCTCCCCGGACCCTGCATTCATTATATCTGCATTCACTATATCTGGTCTCCCCATATCTGGTCTCTGGTCTCCCCGGACCCTGCATTCACTATATCCGGTCTCCCCAGACCCCGCCCATTCACTATATCTGGTCTCCCACTAGGACCCTGCATTCATTCACTATATCTGGTCTCCCCCAGGACCCTGCATTCACTATATCTGGTCTCCCCAGACCCTGCATTCACTATATCTGGTCTCCCAGGACCCCGCCTTCACTATATCTGGTCTCCCCGGACCCTCGCATTCTCTATATCTGGTCTCCCCGGACCCTGCATTCACTATATCTGCTCTCCCCCCCTGCATGGACCCTGCATTTACTATATCTGGTCTCCCCGGACCCTGCATTCACTATATTCTGGTCTCTCCCGGACCCTGCATTCTCTATATCCGGTCTCCCTGGACCCTGCATTCACGATATCTGTCTCCCCCGACCCCTGTATTCATTCACATATTCGGTCTCCCTGGACCCTGCATGGACACCATATCCCGGTCTCCCCGGACCCTGCATTCACCATATCTGGTCTCCCCGGACCCTGCATTCACTATATCCGATCTCCCCAGACCCAGCATTCACTATATCCGCTCTCCCAGGACCCTGCATTCACTATATCCGCTCTCCCAGGACCCAGCATTCACTATATCCGCTCTCCCAGGACCCAGCATTCACCATATCCGCTCTCCCAGGACCCTGCATTCACTATATCCGGTCTCCCCGGACCCTGCATTCACGATATCTGGTCTCCCCGGTCCCTGTATTCATTATATCCGGTCTCCCCGGACCCTGCATGCACCATATCTGGTCTCCCCGGATCCTGCATTCACTATATCCGGTCTCCCTGGACCCAGCATTCACTATATCCGCTCTCCCCCAGGACCCAGCATTCACTATATCTGATCTCCCAGGACCCTGCATTCACTATATCTGGTCTCCCCGGACCCTGCATTCACTATATCTGGTCTCCCAGGACCCTGCATTCACTATATCTGGTCTCCCGGACCCTGCATTCACTATATCTGGTCTCCCCCGGACCCCGCATTCTCTATATCTGGTCTCCCCGGACCCTGCATTCTCTATATCCGGTCCCCCCGGACCCTGCATTCATTATATCCACTCTCCCCGGACCCTGCATTCACTATATCTGGTCTCCCAGGACCCAGCATTCACTATATCCGCTCTCCCCGGAGCCGGCATTCACTATATCTGGTCTCCCCAGACCCTGCATTCACTATATCTGGTCTCCCCGGACCCTGCATTCACGATATCTGGTCTCCCCGGTCCCTGTATTCATTATATTCGGTCTCCTGGACCCTTCATGCACCATATCTGGTCTCCCAGACCCCCGCATCACTATATCTGGTCTCCCCAGACCTCGCATTTACTATATCTGGTCTCCAAGGACCCTGCATTCACTATATCTGGTCTCCCCGGACCCTGCATTCACTATATCTGGTCTCCCGGACCCCGCCTTCTCTATATCTGGTCTCCCTGGACCCCGCATTCTCTATATCTGGTCTCCCCGGACCCTGCATTCATTATATCCGCTCTCCCCGGACCCTGCATTCTCTATATCTGGTCTCCCCGGACCCTGCATTCACTATATCCGGTCTCCCCGGACCCTGCATTCACTATATGTGGTCTCCCCGGACCCTGCATTTACTATATCCGGTCTCCCCGGACCCTGCATTCACCATATCTGGTCTCCCCGGACCCTGCATTCACTATATCTGGTCTCCCCGGACCCTGCATTCACTATATCCGCTCTCCCCGGACCCTGCATTCACTATATCTGGTCTCCCCGGACCCTGCATTCACTATATCTGGTCTCCCCAGACCCCGCATTCACTATATCTGGTCTCCCCGGACCCCGCATTCACTATATCTGGTCTCCCCGGACCCTGCATTCACTATATCTGGCCCCCCTGGACCCCGCATTCACTATATCTGGTCTCCCCTGGACCCTGCATTCACTATATCTGGTCTCCCCGGACCCCGCATTCACTATATCTGCACTCCCACAGTACACACAACATGGAAATGCTAATAATTTAGCAAATATAAACTGCTAAATCAAACTAAACAAGTTCTTTACATCGCTTTGTGCTACAAATAAATAAAATATTGTGAATTAGAGCCCGTTCATACTTGAGCGTTTTTCAGCTTGAAGCTCGACGTTTAGAAATGCTCAAGAAGTAAAACTGGACCACAAAACGCGGTGCAATGTGCAGAATCGGATTGCATAGTTGTGAATACCCATGAGATCCGATTCTAGTGCGGACCAAAAAAAAGTGTTTCTGCACCTTTTTGGTGTGGATGTGGTGCAATTACAGCCGTACATAATGTACGGCTCCGATTGCACCCCACACAAACCGCATGTGATTTGCACAGGAATGCGGTGCAGTTCCTGTGCGAATCACATGCGATGTACCGCACCGCATATATGTGAACCCGGGCTAAAGCCAAAACCTTTTGTTTTCAGTTTTGGAAGAGTGGAGAGGGATTAGAACCCCATGTCCGGGTCGTATTGCTATCTATGCCCCTTCAGGGAGATTTTTCCTATTTGTCATGTTTACTGTTAGCATTGAAAGTAAATCCCAAATTTTGGGTTGTCCCCAGAACAGGTGCACAGGAGAAATCTTCCAATGGGGACATTGGTTCAATCAGGGATGTCCTCTCACCTTGCAGGGATGTTCTCTCACTTCCTGTTTTGGTTATGGGACAGGAAGTGAAGGGAAATCACAGATGGCAAAAAAAAAAGGATTATAACCCACCAAAATGAGAAGAAAAAGTTTTGCCTTCAGGTATACCTCAATATGAAGTGTCAAATTCTTGTATATTTACTTTGTGTTACCTGGGAAACAGTGGTGGTGAGAGCGAGGCTTGAAACGCAAAAGCCCAAGACGTCTCACACACACTACCGCTACACAGCAGTAGAGGTCAGCAGAGAGTCTGATTGACTGCCCCGTGTTTCCTGTAGTGGGAGCGAGGCCTGAAACGCGGAAATCGCTTAGATACTTCCGCTAGACAGCAGTAGTGAGCATGATTGACTGCCCCGTGTTTCCTGTAATGAGAGCGAGGTCTGACACGCGGAAGCCGCTTAGATACTTCCGCTAGACAGCAGAGGAGAGCCTGATTGACTGGCCCGTGTTTCCTATAGTGAGAGCGAGGCCTGAAACGCAGATGCCGCTTAGATACTTCTGCATACTTCTACTTCACCTAAGTGCTTCGCGTTTTCCTGTGCTGGGAGCGAGGCTTGGAACGCGAATGCGCAGACACTGCCGTTCGATGTCGATAGAGATGTTGGTGAAGTGTCCCGTATTTCCTGGTCCTGACAGCTGAGGCACTGCACTATATGTCCGTAGAGGGCAGCAAAGAGCCCATTGAAATGCCCCGTGTTTCCTGTGGTGAAAACGAGGCTTGAGAAACCGGAAGAGCCTGTGGGCGCCTCAGATACTTCCGGCAGAGAGTCTGTCAGTCTGAATATGTCAGCAGGACGGAAGGGCTCGGCTATGGGACGAAGGTAGAGGTAAGTACACCCTTCACCTGTAATGTGAGGCTTGTCTGGAGGTTGGGTAGTCCAGGAGATACATGGACACCGCACATTACTGCCATCATCCGTGTAGGCTGACTACACCAGAGAGTCAGATTCCTTGCCCAAGGAGCTTGCACTCATGGGGGCGACTATACGTTTTAGTTGCCTTAAAGCCCAACTCCGGGCTCCCCCCTATTAAAAAAAAAAAAAAGTCCATCTGTGACATCGATCGTTGCGTCGTTGCGCTTTTTTTGACGTTACCACTAGACAGCCCAGTTCTTTTCAGTTGGCGACAAACGCGGCGAAAGCTCAGTACGCATATTGTAGCTTCACACATCTCAACGTGTTTTTTGCTCCTTTCTTGGCGCGTTTGGTGTGCCGTTAATGATAGATGCGCAACGCGTTCACACCCGGGTTCTCCAGGAACACCTGCGGTTTGCATGTGTTTGTGTGACTGGGGGCCAAGCGTCTCTTCTTAGTTACCTGTAGGTCATGTGATGTTCCTGCCCCCCCCCCGAGTCTTCCTCTGTTTAACCCCTTGACTACCGGGCACTGTCACCCCCGTCCTGCCCAGGACAATTTTTCAGCTTTCAGTGCTGTTGCACTTTGGCAATTGTGCGGGTATACAACACTGTACTCATATGACATTTTTACCATTGTTTTCACACAAATAGAGCTTTCTTTTGGTGGTATTTTATCGCTGCTAAGGGTTTATTTTTTGCGCTATAAACAAAAAAAAGCAAAAAATTTGAAAGTTTTTCTTTGTTTCTATTATAAAATTATGCAAACAGGTAATTTTTCTCCTTCACTGATGTGCGTTGATGAGGCTGCACTGATGGGCACTGATAGGCAGCACTGATATGCAACAATGATGGGTACTGTTAGGCAGCACTGATGTGCATTGATGAGGCTGCACTGATATACAGCACTGATGTGCATTGTTGAGGCTGCACTGATAGGCAGCACTGATGTTTGTTGATGAGGCTGCACTGGTAGGCAGCACTGATGGGCACTGGTAGGCAGCACTGATGTGCATTGATGAGGCAGCACTGATGTGTGTTGATGAGGCTGCACTGATAGGCTGCACTGATGTGCGTTGATGAGGCTGCACTGATGTGCGATGATGAGGCTGCACTGATGTGCGATGATGAGGCTGCACTGATGTGCGATGATGAGGCTGCACTGATGTGCGATGATGAGGCTGCACTGATGTGCGATGATGAGGCTGCACTGATGTGCGATGATGAGGCTGCACTGATGTGCGATGAGGCTGCACTGATAGGCAGCACTGATAGGCAGCACGGATGAGCTGGCACTGATGAGGCATTGATGATGCTGCACTGATATGCAACAATGGGCACTTGTGGGTAGCACTGATCATCAGTGCCGATCCGCCCTCTGACAATTGCTGGCTATCAGCAGTACTTTCCTCACGCTGTGACAGTATGAGGAAAATGCAGCCGATAACCGGCAACTGCATTTACCCGTGATCTGCTGTTTCATTGGACACGGCTGATCGCATGGCAAAAGGCCGCTGTGATTGGCCTTTTACCACATCATGTGATCAGCTGTGTCCGTAGGATTACAGAGATTGCCGGATGCGCACCCCTGGGAGTGCGTGGGAAGGCGTGTTCTTGGAGGACGTCATATGACGCCCTCCCAGAACTGGACAACCGCGCTGTAGCTGTCATTCGGCTATAGCGCGGTTGGCAAGTGGTTAATAAGGGCCGGCTCACACCACAATTCTGTGTTCCGGATGTGTTTATGATGCGTTCCGGTGCATTTTTTCCCCCCCTTTTTTTTTTTTTCTCTTCATCTTAATTGAGGACATGTGTTCCAGTGCGTTTTTGAAGTATGGCATCCCCAAGTGCCGCACACCGAACGAAGCTCAACAGTCACGTGGGTGAAAGCAACTTCAGCCCAGTTCCATCCAGGCCATCCCCAACGTGTTTTGTCCCACCCACTCAGCTTAGTCATGGAGGTCCTCCATAGGTAAGCACCATAGGCGGAAGAAAATGCTTTGGGGTGGCCTGGACAGAGCTGGGCTGAAGTTGCTTTTAAACACGTGACTATCGAGCGTTGTTCGGTGTGCAGTACTCGGGGCTTCCCTACTTCATATTGCATGTATAGAGCCAGGACAGGCTCTCCCCATGCCTGCACCCTCAGTGAGTCACTGGAATTGGGTATATAGCGGCACCCCCTGTCTTTTTTGGCTGGTGCCTTTTTGATGTTTTTTTTGCACATGCGTTCCATACAGAAAAAATGCAGCATGTTCTCCTTTTGTTGACTGCATTGGAACGCATTGGTGTGAACTAGGGCATATTGGAGTCTATGTTAAACACCGTGCATGTGTTTTTGATGCAGAATAAAAGCGCATTGGACTGCATCTGGTGTGACCTGGCCCTGAAACAAAAGAAGGGAGTGAAATAAAGCGCCACTTCATGTAGTATTAAAATAACACACTCCTATGTTAAAGCAGTATTAAAGTGTTACTAAACCCCGGACCCTATATTCACTATATGTCCGCTCTCCCCGGACCCCGCCGCCACTATGTCCGCTCTCCCCGGACCCCGCCGCCACTATGTCCGCTCTCCCCGGACCCCGCCGCCACTATGTCCGCTCTCCCCGGACCCCGCCGCCACTATGTCCGCTCTCCCCGGACCCCGCCGCCACTATGTCCGCTCTCCCCGGACCCCGCCGCCACTATGTCCGCTCTCCCCGGACCCCGCCGCCACTATGTCCGCTCTCCCCGGACCCCGCCGCCACTATGTCCGCTCTCCCACAGTACACACAACATGGAAATGAAATTATTTTAGTAAATATATACTGCTAAATACCTTTTTCTCTTTAGCAGTATATAGCAGTCTTGTGACTTCTATCAGTGTCCAGCTGAGCACGGTTTAATCTTGTAGGAGGATTTTTCATTCTCTTCTGA